AACACGAGAAAAAAAGTCATTTCTTCAAGTTTCAATTTTTTTTTTAATCGGCAATTTCAAGTTTCAAAATTTTTTTAATTGATTATTATAAAAGACAAATTTCGAGTGACAGAAAAGTAGTTTCTTTTCTATTTCCATTAGCCATCATAGACTATTTATTACTATAATACCATTCATAATCAAGTGACAAAAAAGTGTACGAGTGTACCGTCCCAGGTTGTAGCGCTGCTTCCTCCACTTCAGCAAACAAATGAGATGCTTCACGCAACTTGCCTGTAAAAAGTAAAAAATTAATGGCTATGAGATATCTCAAGAAAAACCGAGTAATTGACCAATCTGTCCCCTGTATCCTTTGTAACAGGTAGAGTAACACAGCCAACCTTTGCAGAAACAGTCAACCTACAAAATGATATTCAGTATCCGATTTCTAGGTTCCAAAGCAGTTATGAACTGCTAAAAAGAAACAAATATTTTCAACTCATAAATTGCAGGAACAAACCAACAACTAATCTTTTCAACTACAATTACATTTTTTTTGAAAGCAAATGATGAGAAAAACCTCAACTATTTGAAGTTATAGCACCAAATGCGATGGGAAAGTTTTGAAACCTTTTTGATATCATGGTAGCTAAAATTACATCAGTAGTCCATCATGCTTTTACTTACTATATTCACTGAGACTTTGCTAGAGTTTCAATGTGGGGGCACTCATTGTCAAAGTCAATCCAAGATGGTGCAGAATGACTTTAAAGACCATGATAAGGACTATTTCAACATAATTTTTTGAATCATATGCTTCTATAAATACAAATTAATCAAAATAAAAAGTTTTAAATATCTCAGATCAAGATAATAAATAAACAACTCAAACAAATCATTATCATCACCAGCAAAGCCGTTCTAAGAAGTTATACCATGAAATAAACTGTCTCTTGCTATCATCTACTCACACAGACACAAACATACAATTACCAAAATATCCTCATATGAATATAATATGCCAAAATTCAATGGAAAGAAAAAGGCAGAGGCATTGTAAGATCACAAAGGTTATAACAGCAAGAGAAGGGCAGAGGCAGAGGAAGAAACGAAAATGGAAAGGGGTTCAGATGAATTCATGTGATTTTCCTTCAATTCTTCAGAGTAGTTTGTGATTTATTTGGAAAAAACCAAAATTAGGTATGATAATGTTTACATTTTAAAATTGAACACAAGCCGTGTGTTCTACAGTAAAGCTTGAGGAGCTGTAGCAATTTTCCCATTAGTTTTGCTGCTTAAATTGCACAGAGAAATAAAAGAAAACATTACCAGCCTTCCCATTATAGATAATGAGATTCATTCATGTTTTCTCATCAAGAGTCAGACCCAAGCTGCGAGCCATATTGAATGTTTCCACTGCCTTATCCATCCTTCGATGTTGTCCGTTCACACTGGAAAAGAAACAAACAAGCTCAAAAGACTAATTCCATTTTCCACAGTTATTTGTTGTTTGTTGAGCCCTTACCTGATCATAGTCTTATATGTCTGAATTGATGGACGTTTGCCCACAACAAGCATATGTTCAAAAATTTTGGCTGCAAAATGAAATTTACCTGCAATACCACAAAAATCAATCATTGCCAGCTTTGTCCAGCACACAAATATATTTTGAGCCTGTTTGGCTAGCTGGAACTTTTTGTCAATCTAGTCTTGAAATCTTGTATCATGAAATTAAGTGGATTAACAATGGGTGTTTTTAAATTTGTAAAATTCCATTAAACTCAAATATTCTAACTGCAAAAGTTCTTTTCAGAAGCTAAAAATATTTAGCTTTAACTTCTGTGGTGAGAAGTTTATTTGGAAAGCCTGTGGCAGAGAAGTTGTTCCAGAAGCTGGGCCAACTGGGCATTCAATCAACTATGATGGTGATTCACT